GGGGCAGTGCACTTGACGCGGGCCGGCCGTCGCGCTCGGCGCCCGTGCTCGAGGCGGCGGTGATCTGCCGCTCAGCGCAGACCGGGTACGCCTACACACCGCAGCAGGGGCCCTCTCTCTCTCTCTCTCTGTCTCTCTCTCTCTCTCTCCTCCCGAGGCGTCTTTCGGCGGCGCGGGGCGAGAGGCGCCTCGCGGGCCCGCTTGCCGCGGACGGCGGCGGCGGCGGCGGCAGTGGCGGCGGCGGCGGCGGCAGCCGCGGCGGCGGCTTGCTGCCCCAACTTCATCGTCAGCTGGAGGTCCGCCCCGTGCTCGCTGCAGTGAAGCGCCTCGAGGCCGCCGCCACGGATGCTGCTGCTGCTCCCGCTGCCGCCGCTAGTTCCTTCGGGTGGCGGGCACCAGCTCGGGCGGGCGAGTTCGACGTGCGAGCCGCGCTGCTGCGACCTGGCCGGCCCCGCGGACGCCGAGCGCGAGGGCTCTGGGCCCTTGTTGCGCTGCCGCCGGTTCTGAAACCAGACTTGGATCCGCCTCGGCTCCACGTCGAGCGCCTGCGCGAGCTTGAGCCGATGGCTCGCCGAGGGGAAGCGCTCGCGCTTGAATTCGGCCTCCAGCACCTCGCGCGCCCTGTCGCCAATCCTCCAGCGAGAGTTGCTCGCGTCCCGGGCGGCGCTGCCGGCGGCTGCCTCATCTCCCGCCACCCGCGCGAGCGCCGGAGCTGCGGCGGCCGCAATCTCGCCCACACACACGATGGCCGGCTCCGCCACCAGGAAGGCACTCATGATTGGGATGTGGGCTGTGGGCGAAGGAGCCTTCGGGAGAGAGGGCTCGAGTGGCTAGCTCTGTCACTGTCATCAAGACTGTTGATGACAGAAGAGAATTTTCATGCGGGAAAGAAAACCCAAACTCACGATCGGAAGACAGGGCGGCGTTTCAGAACGAGGCCGAGGAGAGCGATGAGTCAGAGGATGAAACAGCAGGAGAGAGAACGAGGAAGGACGAGAGTGGGAAGAACGCGAGGTGGCATGAAGGTCGCTGCGAGAATTGGTGAGAAACTGCGAAGAGAGATAGGAAGTGGTCCCGAGGGTGAGCGACGGCTAGCACCACACTTCTCCCCTTGAAATCCCTGTGTGACGTCAAAGGACGGCCGCGAAAGTGCACGGCGCAGCAAAACCTGTGTGGTGGCGGCGTGCCGTCCTCCCATCCCTCCCTTGGGCTGTCTGTTTTCTTTCTTTCTTTCTTTGACAGCTATACGCACCGCAGGGAAGCAGAGGAGGGACCGGCCCGGGCGGGGAGAGCGGGGTGTGCAGCTAGCTCCCTCCCTCCCTCCCTGCGCGGTACAGTCTGTTGCCTGAGGGAGGGTGTAGAGGATGTAGAGATGTAGAGCGCTCTGGAGCGCTGTAGAGCTGTAGAGCTCTATGCCACACACTATCCTTTAACAACAAACTCGCATAAGCCCGAAAGAGGCACGCTCGCTCTCCGACGAGATGTAGAGCGCTCTGGAGCGCTGTAGAGCTGTAGAGCTCTATGCCACACACTATCCTTTAACAACAAACTCGCATTATAAGCCGCGAAAGAGGCGTCGCTCTCCGACATGAGGCGCGTTGCACTTGCCAGTGCTGCCCTGGCCTTCTGTCTGACCGCCCAATGGGTGGCAGGTGCTTCTGCTGCTGTGGCATGCCTCACGGCTGCGACTGGCCGGCGCCTCGGCGCGTCAGCTCGGCTCGGCGTAGCGATGGTGGCCAGCGCAACTCGCCTGGACTCAACGCTCAGCCAGGAGCTCCCGCACGCGCTGGAGGCATGGCGCATGCAACGCGCAGCAATGCTTGCCTCGCCTCGCGCAAATGCGACCGTCCTCGCAGCCGACAGTCCACCGCCTGCTAAAGAAGCACAGCAACGAATGCGGCACCGGCGACGCATGGCAGGCTGGTCATGACGCAGTTATAGGGTGTTATGTGCCGTCAGTGACTCTCTGTGTGTCAGGGATAGTCAGGGCCGTCCATCAGAGCTCCAGTAAGCTCGGAGACACCCCATTAGTGCGGCTCGACCCCTTTTTGAGTCACTGCCTTCCCGCCGGTTTGGCTGTAGAGCCTGTGAGTGGTTGCTACTTTCTTTCAACGATCGGCGTCGTGTTGGTCCCAACACTTGCCGTCGCAAAACACTTGCCGTTTGCGTCGCTGACACTAGACGTGCCACGCCCTGGAGGGCGGGCCCGGCGCCACAGAAAGAAAGAAAGAAAGAAAACAGACAGCCCAAGGGAGGGATGGGAGAACGGCACGCCGCCACCACACAGACAGGGTTTGAAGGAGAGGGGTGTGGTGCGCTAGCCGTCGCCCACCATTGGGCGTCCGCCTCTTCCTATCTCACTTCGCAGTCTCTCTCCGATTCTCGCTGCAAACTTCGTGCCACCTCGCGGTGGCCGTAAAATTCTTTCCGAGACGTGTCGACGCCGCATAGCAAACTTGGAGAAAGGAGACTCCACAATGCCGCTGCCCGCGCTCGACCCGGTGGCGCTCGCCAGGTATAAGCGGGCGTCTGAGGACGCACGCTCGCTGCCGCCGAACCTGCTGACAAACAGCCAGCGGCTCAAGCTGTACGCCCTCTTCAAGCAGGCCGAGGGCCCGGCGCCCGAGTCTGGGCCGTCGCGCTTTGACGCAGTGGCTCGTGCAAAGTGGGAGGCCTGGAACGACGTGCGCTCGCTGTCAGCAGAGCAAGCGGTGGAGTCGTACTGCTCCATCATCGAGGGCCTGGTGGCGATCACGGGCGGTGCCGCCGCAGCACTCTCTCCCGCCAATGGTCACGCCGGTGCCGCGGCCGGGGAGTCGGGAAGCGGCGCTCCGGAGGAGGCGGTCGTGACGGTCGCGGGGGAAGCGGTCGTGGCGGAAGCGGCGCCGGCCGACTCGGCGGGCGAGGCGGTCGCGGCGGCCTCCTTCGCGCCGCCTCCCGCCCTCTCTCCCGCGCCGACCCGGACGGCGCGCCAGCCGCCGGAGCTTGCCGCGGAGCCGGAGGTGGAGGCGCAGCGGTGGGCGGCGACGGCGCTGTCGCTCGCGCCCGGCGCCACCTTCGAGGTTCCCATCTTCGTGCCCGAGCCGTCGCGCTGCCGCTACTCGTTCACAGTCGCCGCAGCAGACGGGTGCCTCTCTCCCCGCTCCAGACTGCCTGCCCTAGCTCCCCGGCTCTAGCTCGCTGCCTGCTCGAGCCTCCTACGACACGGGCCTCTCTCGCCGCTCCTCTGCTTGTCACACCCACGCACACTCACACCTTCGTCCCGCCTCGCCGCCCCCCTCGAGTGCGCCGCCTCGACTCTCTCTCCCGCCGCCTCGAGCCACCCGGAGAGGGGAGGAGGAGAGGGGAGGAGGGACACGGGAGGGTGGTGACGAGCCGCCCTCGAAGCCTCAGCTAACCCCCCCCCCC